TAACACTAGACAAAGTGTTAAATAGTTTTTGAACAATCTTTTTCATAGGACTATTGGGTGTACTACCCTCACCATTATGTTAGAGTTGTCTCCCTGCAGGCAGGGTGCTCTTCACGTTAGTTTTTAGAAAGACTAATAAAGTAGCAAAATTATTATAACTGAGAACTGTGAATGCAAGTGCCAGAAAATTCATAGTAAAATAGTTCAGCTATCATTGGCTGAAATGCACGAGCATTGTGCCTTTTGCCACAACAAGAAGAAATATTATGTTAGTAAGGATAAGCATTTATTTAATATTTTGGAGATGTTTCATTTCTACAACAACATTGTTCATTTCTATCCTCATTTAAAGATAAGCACGATTTTGCACTGCAACAAAATAGAGAACCAGTAGGTAGCCTGTGTGATATAAATGATCCATATAGGGATGATGATCATCACAGGATGATTTTCACACAAGTACTGTACAAGAAATATTTCAACCTACTGACCATTTTTTTTCCACACGTATCAGTTTAATGCAATATACATTCATGTATTTACTACCATGTATGGAAAAACATATCTTTAAAACTGACATAGAGAACATACGTTACTGCGCATTATATCTCTGTTAGATTAGATAAATGAATTTCATTTTCAGCACAAGTTCAGAAAAAAAAATATAAAAAACGCCATGAACTGACATTTCTGTTTATATTGTTGGACCTGTGGTCCTGTTTTAGACACCAAAGGAAAGCTAGTAATTTGAATGTCAGCGGTATTAGACCTTATCTTGTCAGTGAGTTTGTCATTCTGCTATTTAGTGTGCTGTCTTGTATTTTAGTCACTTTTGTTTCTGTTTTGGCATGCAATTCATGCTTTGTCATGTAATTCATGCTTTGTCACTATCGAACATAACAGTAGGTGAGTGGAATAGTCTTCAGATGTGATGGGGTAATTGCTCATAAAATTAGAGAAATCTCACTACAAAACATGAAGATTTCCAATAATGAAATACAATTTCTATGGTAAAAAATGTTTCTGTTAGTGAAGCACTACAACTCTTTGTGAAGCTGAACTACTGAACTTTTTTGAGCTTCAGAATTTTTCATCCATCAAAACAGAAACAATATAAACCCAAAATATTCGATTACACTTGAAACTCAGCTCAACAAAAGCAACCTGCACAACAGTTGTAGATTAACAATTTTCTTTGAAAATTAGGTAACTTTTTATTTTGAGAATGTATTTGACTACAAAATAAAAATTACAATTAAGAGAGAAAAATCTTTCATTTCTCATAGAATGTGACAAGAGAAAAAAACCCCAAAGGCGTATCCTAGCTTCCCAGATTTGATTTCCAGCATCTAAAATGGGGAAACTTGGATATCGTATTTTCTGACTATGGAGTTACCAGAGTCACCTTCTCCAGAAGAGTAATTCATACTGCATAATTTAGGAGTAAATTTGGTCTAGAATGGTCAAACTCGATGATACTTAATATTGCCTGGGCTCTTTCTTAGCAGGTGTGTTAAGAAAATGTTTACATTTCTTCACACAACTGGGAGAGCTCCAGTGTTAGAAGGTTTGTCTCCTTAGAAGAAAGTCCTTTACCAAAGGTAGGTCAGTATGCAGGATATGGTATGAGAAAAAACTACACTTCATGCTCACTTAAGTGCTGCAAACTGAGTTTGCAATCTTCTCTACTCAATATGCAATATGCCTTTTTAATTTAAAATTTTATAGTCTTAAAATTCCATTTCATATCTGAAATATTAGTTGCAGAAAGACAATACAAATAACAAACTGAAGTTCATTCAGGTAGGCTTCCACTTCCAAAATTGTATACTGCTGCCTGTATGCTAAAATAAGATGTCAGATATAGTCTTAGGAAACAAAATTCATCTTAGAAGTTCCTATCATTTAAGAAAACATTCTTATTTACTCACAATTAAAAATTTATTTGAAAGATCCCTTCTATTTAGGAAACAATCATTCTTATTTATTCAGAACACTAATCTATATACTGAAATTATTTAAACTGCATCTATCGTGTAAAAAAACTGCAGAAATCCCATACTTTATAAAAGCTGTAAGTTACAACAATTAGTAGCTACAGAATACTATATGGCAGGGTGTATTTTTTTTAAAAAAGTTTATACTTACTGTTACTTATGAGCCAATATTCATCTTCCTCAGATACTTGCTTGCTGTTGTGGACTCTCCATGAATAGTTTGCTTTTCTAAGCTAGCTGTCTTGCTAAGACTTAATAGGATAACAAGTCCAAACCACTTCTCTTTTTTTCAACTTACCCACTTCTGTACTGCTAACTCTAGTCAGCAATGATATGCTGTATACGTATATCCTTCCAATCACTGAAGCATTAAGTGACTACTAGTTATTTAACTCTTGACGGTTAGAGAAAATAAGAAAAAAACCATCTCAACTTACTGAGGCTTTACAAAATGTCAGCTTTGTCTGAAAAGTCTTAATCAATCAGATTACCTAATTAAAGATAAAAGGGAGCAATGTTGTTCACAGTCTTGCTCCACTTCTTCTTCTATTTCTGTCTCCTAAGCTCAGAATCTGATTAGTATATTTAATTCCATGAAGCATCATGACTGGTCTACCTTTAATCAGCTCGCTGACATCCACCTCTTTTTCCTTCACGTGTTGCAGAACTCAGGATAATAATTTACCAATTTGGCAATATTCCCACACAAAACACAAATATAAGGTTCATGCTATAGTATCAACACTGGAATGATTTAATTTTTCACGTTTACACATATCTAATATGAAACATGAGATAAAACAAGTATGCTTAGAGAGACCAATGCAAAGTTTGTAAGAATCTGACAATCAGTATCATTCTTACATGAGCTTACATGAGATGTCATTACATCACATGAGCTTACAGCTTGGTTAGTAGTATCAAACTTTTTTGTGTTTAAACATCTCATCTATCTTTTTCCACTTTATTTAATTACTATTTCTATTATCTGCAATTTATTATAAATCTAAAACCAGATAAAATACAGAATATTTACAAAGTATGTACTTAGTAGAAGTTAATTCTCAGTGTACAGACAAATTGGCAGAAAAGGCATCTCCAGAATTTTCTGCCTTGTACATCTACATCTTTTTGCTCCAGTATCATTGTAGAAGCACAGGAGAAGAGGCTATGAACAAAACACAGTGTGAACAAAGCCTTTCTATTTTTAGTGGTTTAAGAAATACTATTCTTTTAATGTACTGCATTAACTTAGTGGCAAGAAATAACCTGCTTGCAAAGCTGCAGCCTTTTGGATAAGGCAAACAAATCTTATTCACGTGTTGCCCTGACCAGAGAGCACTAAGAACCGCTACACAAAAGTTTAATCATTGCTAAACTTAATTTGGCACTTCTCTAAATGGCCTTTACTTGCCAGAAGTTATTAGAACTGAAAGATCACTAAAAAGTGACTGTCAGTCTCAGAAAGTGTTGATTTACTTTCCAAATTATGCTTTTTCTGCTTTTTTCATGCAGTAAAATTATTTTTTTATATTATTTATTAGCATCATAATTGCAGATATTGTTTATACAGATTTTAGATTAAAAAGATAGTCTGATTCCTAATACCAGTATTGATTATGGATACTTTCTTCTGTGTTTCACAGTCACAAACTCATCTCATTAGCAACCCACTGTAATTTCCTATATGAAGAAATAATATTAAGATGGGTCTCATATATCTATTTTTAGTTACTTCAATGTGATAAATTATTTTTCTTTATGCTATCTACATTTGTTCTTTGCTTTACCCTCCCTCTTCCACCTGCTCCTCACTCCTTCCTAGTTTATGTTTCTTAATGTGTAATAATCATAGTGCTAGGTAAAAAATCCTTCCATTGCTAAGCTTCCACCACGTTTGCATACTGTCCAATCTTCTAATTTACAGTTGCAAGAAAAAGTATGTGAACCTTTTGGAATTTCATAGTGTTCTGCATTAATTTGTCATAAAATGTGATCTAACCATCATCTAAGTCAAGAGTATTGACAAGCATATAGAATGTGCCTAGAATAATAACACAAAACTAATTCTGATCCTCCATGTCTTTACTGAACACACTCATTCAACATTCAAAATACCAGTGGGAAAAGTAAGTGAACCCTTGAGTTGACCCAGAAAACCTAATTGGAGTCAGATTAACATGGAATCTTGTTAAGAAAATTAGTTTGGAGGTGTGCACTATAGCTGTGTTGACTGATAAAAACCATGCAAAATTTTTGAGTTTGCTCCGCACAAGATGTATGCTTATGTGAGCCACGCCTCGCCCAAAAGAGCTTTCAGAGGATCCACGATCAAGAATTGTTGATTTACATAAAGATGGAAAGGGTTACAAAGTGCTTTCAAAGCCCTTAGAAATTCACCAGTCCACAGTTAGGCAAACGATCTACAAATAGAGACACTTTGGGACTGTGGCTACTCTGCCAAGAAGTGGGTGCCCAGTCAAAATGACCCCAAGAGCACAACGAAGACCCATCAGAGAGGTAAAGAAACAATCCCGAGTGACAGCTGAAGAGTTGAAGGCGTGAAGTTGGAACTGGCTAACATCTGTGTCCATGAGTCTAAGGAAGGGCACTGCATATCATCATGAAAACATCATCCCAACCGTAAACTGTGGTGGAGGAAAACACTGAAAGTGGGTGGAAAATACACCTGATCAACACATGGCTCAGAGACTGGTGCCACCATTGGAAATTTGGTTTCTTTGATCATGAGGAAGTTTACATAGCACTGGGTATGCTGGTGACAGATGGAATACATCTATCCCAAAGGGGGAAAAGGATCCTAGCACAGGAGTTGGCAAGGCTCATTAAGAGGGCTTTAAACTAGGCTCGAAGGGGATAAAACCAGGCTCCCTAGAAATGAGCCTAAGGACAGTCTTCAGTCTGCCATCCCACTTGAGGTGGAAAATGGTGTCATATGTGACAAACCCGGGACAGCTAGGGATAGGACTTGAGGTGACATACCGGTGTTGGAGACGACATCTACACCGCAGCTGAAGTGCATATATGCCAATGCCCAGAGCATGGGCAATAAACAGGAGGAATGAGAAGATATTGTACATCAGTGAAACCACGATATAACTGCCATCACAGAAACATGGTCAGATGATTCACAGAGTGTCACAATGAATGGCTACAGGCTCTTCAGAAGAGATAGGCAAGGAAAAAGAGGTGGTGGGGTAGCATTACATGTTAAAGGGTGCTTTGACTGCTTAGAATTCAATGTTGGACACGCCAAGGTGAAATGTTTATGGATAAGGATAAAGGAGGAGGCCACGTTCTAGTGGGAGTCTGCTACAGACCACCCAGCCAAGATAAAGATACTAATAAGACATTCTTTCAACATCTTAGAGATATCTCACGTTCACAAGCTTTTTTTCTCATGGAGGACTTCAACTTATCAGATGTCTGCTGGAAGTACAACACAGTAGAGAGAGAGCAGTCCAGGAGGTTTCTGGAATGTAGGGATGACAAGTTCCTGTTGCAGCTGGTCAGTGAGCTTACCAGGGGTAGAGCCCTGCTAGATCTACTGTTTTCAAACAGGAAAGGGCTGGTGGAAGATATGGCGATCAGAGCTCTCCTTGGCCACAGTGATCATGATATGACAGAATTTTCAATATGCAGTGAATTTGGGAGGGTCATCAGCAAAACCTCCACCCTGGACTTCCGGAGGGCTGACTTTTGGACTATTCAGGATGCTGGTTCAAAGGTTCAAAGAAGCTCTTGGGAATCAGCGTTTAAAAACAAAGGGGCCCAGAAGGCTGGACTTACTTTAAGAATGAAATTATGAAGGCACAGGAGCAGGCTGTCCCTATGGGCCAAAAAATGAGCCGTTGGGGAAGAAGAGCAATGTGGTTGAGCAGGAAGCTTTTGCAAGAACCTGGGGGAAAAAAAATAGTGTATCAACTCTGCAATAAGGGGCAGGTGAATCAGGAAGCGTTTAAGGATGTTGTAAGGTCATGCAGAAAGAGAATTAGAGAAGCGAAAGCTCAGTTAGAACTTAATTTGACCATCTCTGTAAAGGATAACAAAAAGTGCTTTTATAAATACATTAATAACAAAAGGAGGGTAAGGGAAAATCTCCGTTCCACATTGGGTGAGAGGGGGAACGTAGTAACAGAAGACAAGGAAAAAGCTGAGATACCTTCTTTGTCTCAGTCTTTAACAAGAAGACTGGCTTCCTCAGGGCAACTGAGCTCCTGAGTTGGTAGACAGGGATGAAGAACTGAGTACCTCGTGTAATCTAGGAGTTAGTGACCTACTGTGCCACTTAGATCCCAACAAGTCCATGGGTCCAAAGGGGGTTCATCCCAGGGTGCTAAGGGAGCTGCCAGAAGAACTGGCTAAGCTGCTCTCTATCATTTATCATCAATCTTGGGCGAGTGGGGAGGTACCAGATGACTGGAAGTTGGCCAATGTGATGCCCATCCATAAGAAGGGCCAGAAGGAGAACCCAGGGAACTACAGGCCTGTCAGCCTGACCTTGGTACCTGGCAAGGTTATGGAGCAGATCACCCTGAGTGTCATCAAGGGGCATGTAGAAGACAACCAAGGGATCAGGCACAGCCTGACCAACCTCATCTCCTTCTATGACTGGCTGACCCTTCTAGTGGATGAGGGGAAGGCTGTGGATGTGGGCTACCTTTATTTTTCAGCAAAGGCTTTGACACAGTCTCCCACAGCACCCTACTAGAAAAGCTGGCAGCCCACAGCTTGGATGGATGTACCCTTCACTGAGAAAAAAAACGGTTGGATGGCTGGGCCCAGAGTGGTGGTGAACAGTGCTGCATCCAGTT